TTTGGGGACTTGGCTTGAGCCATTTAGGACTACGGATCCAATGGCAAGTCGGACTATGAAGCGTTTCTCGAAGAAGTAGATAGGGTTCTACAAGGAATCTCGAATGGCGATCTCAAGGATTGGGATTTTCATGCACGGGAATCCCGAAAATATGCGTCACAGAATCATGATACCGTATGTACATTGACTATACCTGAATATATGCAATAAATGTGCCCATTGGAAGGCATGGTGACACCAATGCGACTTGTGCAAAAAGCGTACTTTCAAATGTTCATTTCGAATCAGTTTTATAGAAGCGATTGTCGACAACTACTGAGGAAGATAAAAACCCATAGGGCTAGATGATGGTTTCTGTTGCCCAGGCAGAACGCGTGTGCCATCCCCTCCCCCCCGAAAATGTACAAAGAGAAGAGGATTCAGCGTGAAAAATGAACAAATTTATTATAAATAACTTGTAGTGAGCATTTTTATGCAGTCAGGTAAGTAAGTAAGCAGTAAGTCCAAGAATTTGAAATTTTAGAATAATTATACAGCCTATTCTCCAAATTCGCGCGGGAGAAAAATACGCCTCCCTCCAGAAAAAGGAATTTATAAAAGTTCTACCCCCATCGATCTCGTTTTGCTAAAGGAGGACGTATAACATGACGTATCGTTTTAGAGAACAGTAACACCAAACGGACTTTCTGGAGGACTCCAGGGTTAAGTCAGGCTATTGCTGCGAAGCAGGAAGGACAATATTCATCTCTTTTTTATCTCTCTGAGGACCTCAAAGAAGAATTCGTAGAGATACCAAGTATCGAAGCCCATTCTGTAAAGCAGTTGCTCGCTAGCAGCAAACTGTTATTCGGTGAATTCTAGTCTGTAAATGTGATTACGCCTGGATAGTGTGAACCCAAAGATTAAGCAAGACGAGAGGAGAAAGATGCCAAAGGAAATGAGAGATATCCAGAAATACGACTGCCTCGTGAGTCCTCGGAGGCCCCCGAGGGGATTCGCAGAGGTCATCCACCTCCCCCTCCGCATCACATTTAACCATTGCGTGCATGGTGTCCCCTATCTTCGAAACGCTGCTTCGGTGCTGCAATACTTCGACGGGGAAATAAGAAGAGTGTGTCGTTGTCTCCCACTTTCCAATAGTAATTGCGAATGCTTGGTGAAGTATCCCTGTATACACGTGAGTACACTTTGAACTTGTCACTTCGTGGGCGATTTTCGGCCTTGTCTTTCTAAGGCGTGAAGCTGTTTGAGATTCATGATGGGAAATATTTTCAATCCCACTGAGAATAAAGCTTCAAAGCGAAATTCGACCATAAACCTCGAACCCTCCCTTGTAATAGCTATAAGAGGGATGATCCAAAATTATTCGGACTTTTACAGAAGGAATAAAGATAGGCCAAATTTTTTTTTGAAAGGGCTTATTCAACATTTCTCAATATAATTGCCGCCAACATCGAAGCATTTTTTCATCCGCTGCAACCAGTTTTGAAAAGATTCCTCAAAATCTTCGTTCTTGAGTTCTTGCAGCTCCCTTTTCACTTCTCTGATGACTTCTTCACGATTTTCAAATGGTTCCTTCTTTGCCCAAATTCTTCTTGATCCTTGGAAATCACCAAAAATCACAAGGGGCCAGATCTAAAGAATAGGGTTGCACATCCAGGATGAGATTGATGTGAGAGGCGCCTATGAACAGCAGCAAAACAGTCTTTGCCGCCTTGTGTGCGCCGCATTGTCGTGGTGCAAGAAGACATTCCTGGCCCCCCTCCCCCCCATCGACTCTGATACTCCCGTGTTCCCATGTCCTGGGAGTGGAGAATATATCTTTAGTTTCCTAGGAGGTGGTTATAAAATTTTCAATCTTCCATTCTCAGCATGAACCCACGCAAATGAATTGAAACCTCGCCAACATAGATTTTTCTCACCGCTGGCCTAAGTGCAGTTGGCGCGAATGAACATGCAGACTCAGTTTAGATTTAGATTTAACATAGGTGAGGCAGGGCCGAATTCGGCTTTCGTAAAAGCATGTTCATGGCCCACCTCTTCCCTGAGCAGAAGAGAGGCAGAAGGAAAGGAAAGGGGGGGGGAGGGCCGCCGCAGTTCATGTATGACCACTCTTGCCGGTTTCTATGTTGATTTTCTTCTCAGATCTACATACAGTACTCCATTTCATGTGAGACTTTTTCTTGGCTTGAATCACAAAACTTGGCTTTTTTTGCAATAGAAAAGCCAGATTGTAGATTGTAGACTTTGCTCTCCAGATTGTAAAGAAAACTACCTTCATCATTATCTCCACGAGTCCAGGGCATGAACAGCATAGAAATACCAGTAAAAGAAAAACCATTAATCCCAGTAACAACGCCCCCCCCCGCCCCCTAAAAAAAAATAGTTGTACAGATAACATAGGAAAATCTTATTTGCGACGCTTCATAACACATTCGTATAATAGCCTTTTTAATCTCATTATCTCCTTTTCCATCTCACTTGTCTACGGCTGAACGTTGCACTGAAAGTATCTATAAGTTTCGTCAGAGGCGTAGCGTAGAGGGCGCAGGGGGAGACATGTACCTTTTCAACAAAGTTAAGAGGAAGAGACACTTGAAATGCACGAGAACTGTGTCCTGGAGTTCCCGTTCCTCTCTCCCCCCCCCCTCACTTTTCCCATCCAAGCTACGCCTATGGGTTTCGTCATCATAATAATAATTGTGCATCCCATAAGTACCTTTTGTTTTGCAAGCATCACACACTTGGGGCCGAAAAATGACCTATCTCGACAGTTAAACCTAGGCATTCGGTCACGCTAGCTTACAGTCATTCACAAAATATGATATACTCAGAGGCGCGTCACTAGTTACAACTCGGTCCTTACTAGCGAGAAATGCGGGGGAGAGGGGGGAGGTATATATCTCGGAAGAGACTGCATAGCCTGAAGTCACTGGATGTACTTCTCAGTGACCTGTGCTCGCTATGCGTTGTCCATCAGGTCCTGAAACAAAGGAGTAGAAAGATTACAATTGGAAATTTCGAAGGAGCTTATGCGATGGCAACACTTCAGCCGCCTCCACATGCAGTCGATACTCAGAGCGCCTATTCCCGGTATGCACGGATACGATGGATATCCTTCAAAGGTTTTCAAGTGATTCTCATTAATTTATAGGTAGCCGTGCGCGATACTGACAAGCAAACACATTATATTTAATTTTAGTACAACTGGAAGCAAAAATGAGAATTATGATTTCTTTTCCGTCTAGCATGGGATTCCAGCTCTCATGGAATTTGAATTAAGGATTATAGATTTCTCAAAAATGTCATGCTTTAACCTTTAAATATCGCACACGATAAGTTTCTGAATATCTTAAATGGAAACGTTAGGTCTACATTAACTAGGTAAAACCTTTCCATGCGAAACCAAGGATCGTTTTGGATCACACCGCCAAAAATTTGAGAAAGAAGGCATTGGAACGTGATGACTTGAGAGATTATTTACCAACTTAAGCATTTCTCATCCATAAAACCTTTGCTGCATATTGAACTCGCGTGCACCTTTTTCTAATACTGTAGCAGGAAATGGGGTGGCGGACCGTCCCCTTGCTGATTCTCCTTCTTCGAGTCCCCGTCCTACGAGCTCAATCTTCGATGGAATGCCCTCTCGAAAGGGAAGGCTCGAAATGCGTGGAGGACGATAGAACCATGGTCGTCGTCTTTGCCTTCTGCATCTTCTCGAAGGAAGTGAAGCTTTTCGAGGTCCTTTCCTTACTCCGATCCCTCTCCGTCTTCTCTAATCGACCATTCCACGTCATAGGATTCGTAGATTCAACGACCAAGGGATATTTAGAGAAATATCTCCCTATATACATGACGTTTGGGACTTATGAACTACGGGACATAAAATACCCCAATGGAGCCGAAGATTTGCGGAATATCTTCAAGCCGTGCTCCTCAGTGAGACTCTTTCTCCCTGATCTTCTGCCAGAATACGACTCCGTCATCTACTTGGATACAGACATCGTGTTTTTGGCACCTCTGGAGGAACTCTGGGCCCATATCGACACCATGGGTCCCTGGTCGTTCGTTGGTGCTGTGAAGGAATTAGAGGATTTCGAAGTGGGCCACTACAAAAATTCGGAGACACCATTTCCATTCTACGGGCTTTCGGGCATCAATTCGGGCGTCTTGTTGATGAACCTCGCCCGAATGAGGTCCTTGGGTAACTCTTGGTATTCTGAAATCCGCTCTATCTACGAGACTTACAAGGGACAGTTGACAGCCGGGGACCAAGATATCCTCAATATCTACTTCCATCGTCATCCGCAAAATATCACAACCATCCCATGCCGATTCAACTACAGGGAAGACCATTGCCTCCGGATGAAATTGTGCTCTTCCAAATCGAAGAACGAGTGCAGGAAAGTGAATATTTGTGAATCGGCAGAAAGGGACGGCGTGGCCGTGATTCACGGTTCTCGAGAAGCCTTCCATATCGACGACGACACGCCATTCAGAGCAGCAGCGCTTTGGATGTGGCAGTCGAGGAAAGAGGATGACATGAGAGCCTTGGTGCAAGACTTGGCCAGAAGACTCCAAGCTGCCAAAGAAAGCGAGAGTGGACATGTGTCTGAGATCTTCCTCAAAGCCTTTCCTCCTTCCTGGTCTCTTTTATCCTCTTGAAGGATTTTTTTATGCTTCTCGCCGGGAATCCGTGCGTGTCTGGCTGAACACGTGGAGATTTAAAAGAGCGGTAAAAGTAACCTCATGAGTACTCAATGAAGATTTGTGATATTTTTTCAAAATATATTATATTTTGTTCTCAAAATAATTTGTTCTGATTATTTTTTATTCTCAAAGCTTTACCCGGAAATCGAGGTAATTGGACCTGAAAAAGTCAAGGGATAAGACGGGAACACCGAGTTTGACTCATTTTCATGGACCCGGAAGAAGAAATTCTATAGAATTCGTCACCTTTAGTCACAAATCCAAGTTATTTTGCGAGATTACACAGCAGAATGGAAGGTATAAACATCCGAACCAGAGCCATCAGGGAAAACGTAAGCATAGGGATTTTCATGAAAAACATTTAAGACTTATAATGTAATTGAGGCTTTCAAACGCTGGCTCTAGGACATAATGTAATTGAGAGACGATTCTTCCTGAGACTTTTTTCTCACATTGTAATGATGATCTAGCTTTGCTGTGACACTAAATCACATATTAGTATTCATCTTTCAGTTATAAGAAGTGTAATTCAATGTTTTCCTTTGCATCGTACTTTTCATTGTCTCAGTGTCTGTCTTCCCCCTCCTCCCCTCCCCTTCCCAAGATATGCAATACTGGACTGTACTGTACTTAAGCTCTTTTTTTCTATGAGAGCCCCCATTTGGACGACCTTGTGTGCCTTCGAGTAGAAAGAGCAGTCGCGTGACACAGTTACAGGCAGTATAAACAGATCGCCCCCTCCCATCTCGCTCGTCAGTCTTGGGGGATTAAGTAGTCCATGATGTCGTGGTGCTTCAGGGATCTTCCCTTCAGGAAGAAACGTTACATCACCTTTGCCATATCCTTTGCATCCAACTTCATCGGCGGAACTGAGTTCGGTGAGTTTCAGCGATATCATGCAGCGTGGTATCCCTGAATATGTCTATCATTGGCCAAATTGAAGTCAAATTTCAGATCCGTATGTTAAGGTATGGTATTTCTAATGATACATAGTTGATGAGGCTATGCAGTTCCTTCCATATATCTTGAGCAGCTTTCTTTCCCAATAATTGTAAAAAAAAGAGCTTCATATGCTTTAAAATGGTGAGAGACCGGCATTTTCTAATCGATGTCACTCTTCCAAATCTCATCGAAGTAATCAATGCAGTCGCTTTCGCGAGTACAATCTTTCATTTGTTCGAACATGAACTCTATGGGATTGCGGAAATGCAGGACTCTCTTCTGGAGAAGGCTCGAATACTTGACCCATGTGCATGGTTACGGTCTGACTGTAACTTGCAGTACATATAATGGCCATGCGCATCCAAACATTTTTCATGGGGTTGCGGTTTTCCGCTTTTGCGAGACAGTTGATAGGCTGAAATTCTGAACGAGCTTGGGAAAAGGGAGCCAGCTTTGAATGCCTCCAATCAGGGGCAATGGGCAATTTATGTTTGCAACGATGAGTTGCGTGTATCAAGTTGCATATTTTCTGATGCAATATCGTCCAGCACTAACTTGAAGTTTCTTCGCGACCCCCATAGCGTTGAAATCCTTTAAAATTATGTTCATGACCTTATTGTCGTATCGTATTGTTTAGAGTTTCACGGAATCATCTTGCGCCGATGTTACGAGTTGCTTCGGCTTCCCGGATGGAAAGATTGTCCTTGGGTAATCTCTGAAGAGGGAATTCCAATGAGATGGAGGCATACATTAGATGCCGTAGAATCAGAGATAGGAACCAAGACCGATTCCTGATGGTTAACATCATCTATCAAATAATTGCCAATCACTGTGGGCTCTTATACTCGTATGACAGTGTTCATGTCGTCCACGTCGACAGGCCCATGTCAACCGGTCTGTATATCTGGATGGAACTATATATAAAAACGGTGAGGGCTTGGTTGAAAATTGACTCTGTTCAAGCCAAGCAGATAATATTTAAAAAATGAGGACTCCAAGGTGCTTCGGCACGGTGGGCTTCTCCGTGGTTTGAATTTTCGTTTATTGGGTGAATCTCTGTCTGCAGAAGATTTATGCCTTTATAGGGGATTGTTACACCAAGAAATGTTGTTTTCTTCTTTTTCGGAGGTGTGATCTCAAAGTATTCATATTTTCTGTCGCACCAAAAGTTTTTTGGCGCGAAGTTTTTAAACTTTCCATACATATTTTTCCATTCCACCAGCGATAATCCTACCGTCAATATGGAGGTACTTGCAACAACTGGGTGTCACCAACGAGGCATATCTTGGTCTCGTCACCTCCTGTGAGCAACCGAATTCGTCATATGCAAATAAATAATCGAGAACAGAACAGTTCAAAGAGTTTGCTCCATCATAGCATTCAGCTTGGCGTCTCTCTTCTCGGGGATGCTGGTGGGATACTGGACGGATCGGAGCGGGGACGTGAGGAAGATCGCCCTCCTCATGAACCTCTTCCAGATCGCTGGGAATCTCTTCTACTTCATCGGGTTCTTCCCTTGGATCCTCCTCCTCGGCCGATTTATCTCGGGTACCAAGTTCATCCAATCCCAACATTGTATCCGCAACGTCGCCGTCCTACCTATCCACTTTTTCCCCCTTAGGAATCGGAGCGGGACTGAATACAGTTATGTACGCCGAAGTGAGCCGATCGACGACGGCTGAAGAGAGGACTTCCGTTTTGACTTGCATGTTTGCCTTGAGGCAGTTGAGCATCAGCTTCGCTCCCGCCTACAATCTCGCTATTGCCGTAAGTCCCATCATATAGTTATCCATAACTTGGATTCCATGGACCATGGCCATAGCCTAATGCAAATTTATCCAGATTGGACACTAGAATTACTTTTTTTGAGCCAACATCTTTCGTGAAATTCTTCTGAAACGTTGGACTGTCATGCATAATATGTGATGTGTTTCCACGGCCTTTCCTTGTGCACATTGCCTTCGTTATTTGCAGAATATAAATTTCCAATTGGGAGGGATCCGAGTGACGGAAGAGAATTTCCCTGGAATCTTAATGGCAGTAATCTGCATCATCTTCGAGTTCGTGTTTTTCTTCTTCTACTTCAATTTGTCCGAGGAGTTCCAATGGGAGGAGGAGAAGAAGAGGCGGAAGGCGAGGGAGGCCGAATCTTCTTATGGTGCATGCGACTCCAGAACTTCACTCGGAGAAGAACTGGAAAAGAAACTTCTACAAAAATCATTTTCGTCTCCCAATTCCAAGACCGGTCTTTCCCTTTCATCCTTTTTCACTCTTCCTCTCAGCTAATAAAAAAAAACCTAATAGATGTAACATACAACGGAATCCAAAGAGAACTTCCGGAACTTTTTTCCCATTTATTTCATATTTTTGCGAGCAGAAGAGGGAGAAGAGGTTAAGAGAACCCAAATGCCATCGACAGCGCTAGATGGCGCCAAGTTGGACGAACCACCTTTGAATGCCCGAGAGATTTATCGACGAGGTACAGTCTAGGAAATCCTATACACATGATAATGTTATGATGCGAAAGCGAGAAAATATTTGTTCATATCTGTTTGCATGTTGCGTATGTTGATAGAGTTCCTGAAAGTCTCGGTAATTGCCCTACTGCTCTCGCAGATGACGGCCTATCTCTGTCAGACTCTCATCGAGGTAACATGATGGATATACCACTTCAGCACAATTTTAAGAACCAGCTGAGTTCATTTAGCTGTTCGTTCGCAGACGATCATCCCACCAGTGATGCAGACCGACTTCGGGCTGGGAAATCGAGAGAACAGTTACCTGTACATGGCGACTGGCGGAGAGAGCCTCGTCGTCTACGTCATGGTCATCTTGTTGTCCAAATGGCGAATCCAGGATCGAAGCATGATCCTCTGTGGTTCTGCTGTCATCGTCTATGCCCTCGTCCATAACCTTCTCCTAGGCCTCTATCTCCTCCCAGGTCTGTTTTTCACGGAGACACATAAGGGCATGATGTAACACGGTAAGATGTTGCTCCTTTTCTTTCTCAACTTCAGAATGTATACCTGGTGAAACTCAGACATGCATTTTTGATCGGACCGTCAGAACAAACAGGGATTAAGCCAGAGATGCTGCGAGGAATAGGAAGTTTACACGAATGAATTTGCATGTGAAAAAAATTGCAGAGAAGGATCCATGCTCAGGGACGAAATGAGACTTTTGAGGGTTCTAAGGCATGAGATGGAAAGTGGAGGGCTAGAGATGGGAAACGGAGAGAAAAATGTAGGATGACAGGAGGATTGTACTTCATGAGGTAATTTCAATGTTCTCAATAAGACAACACGTGAAAATATATAAATGCTCTATCATAGGCATGAATACGCAAAAAACGTGACTTTCTCAAAATATACACTACATGAGCAAATTATAAAATGATATACAATCGAATCACAGACTCTATTGCATAAACTTGATCTGCACGCAGATACGCCGGATCTCCTGCCGTATTTCGTCGCGGGCTGCATGGTCATGTTCGCGGGAGTACCAGCCGTGTGCGTGTGCACCATGTGCCTGATCACGAAGCTCGTCGATCGACGGGCTCAGGGACTCCTTCATGGTGTCCGTCGGGCTTGCAACTCAATCGGAATCGTTATCGGACCACTATGGGGTGGAGGGTTCGTCTTTGAACCCCTTCCCCTATACATCCTTCCTCTTGCATTCGTTCTTCTCTATGCCGTGAGTCCCATCCTTCATATGTACGTAGGAGTACGAGCGCGTGAAAGATTTAAATAGAAAATTTCCCAATATTTTTCATTCTAGATTCATTATTTCGTTTTTGGCCTCAAATTCCCTCAAACCAGATGTACGAGGGGCGTTCAAAAAGTTTTTTACCTGAGTAACTTTAAGTTGTAATTCACCATTCATTTTTTTTTTTCATAGAAAGACAGATGTCTTTGATGATGTATGAAAATGTTCAACACATTTGTCGATGGTAGAAAGCTTCTATGCATTTTTTTCAATGTGCTACCAAGGGGTATGCTGAAGGGATATTCAAACTGAAACGAATGCTGTGATGAATTTTCTTTCTAACTTTGAAGGAGTCGGTTTCTCAGCAGATCTTTTGTCGGTTGAGAGGATACTGTATTATTGACAAGAAGATCTCTGCAAGATCCAAAAAGGAAAATTATTCTTCTAGATTAGAAAATTCATAACAGCCTTCTTGAGAAGAGAACAGCATTCTTGAGAGTGAGAATCATTCCTGCTCCAGAAAAATAGCAACATTAAATTATAACATGACAAATATTGCTGAGAGGCAGGCAAGCATCGGCTGCAATGCTACAATTTGGCCAGAATCACAGTTTGATGAGATAGGAATCTATATTTCGATTAACTGGAAGGACCTGAAAGGCAGATGAATCTTGTACTCCACGCAAACAATTAATACTGATGAAGTATTGGCTGCATCACATGTAGGGGAATCGCCAAAATCTGAAGGGCTTGGGGAATGAATGGATCTACACTGTTTAGCGTTACATGAAAGTCATGCTAGCCCAAGTCAATCGAGTCGATTTCCTTTCTTCGCTCTTTTCATTGAGCTTGTCATATTACTTTAGGATTATTATGAATTTTCACCACTGGCTCATTTAACGTTGAATCTCCCGCAAGGAAACATTGAAGAATGCTGGAAATAATGTTCCCTTTTAAGCGTCCTCACAAAGATACTCACGTGAGGACTGCGGGATACCAAAATCAAGAACGCAGCAATACCGACAGTGCAATCCCAATCCGTCAGGATAACCTTTGTGCGCAATTGAATTTGACTGCTAAATTTTTTTTTCTTTATTTTATTCATTTATCGACCCCTTATTACAGCATTTCCACTTCCAATGCTGACTGCTGGAAACTGTACCCCAGAATCCCTCAATGGAATGCAAAACGATGATAAGGAAACGGGGAGAAGCCCTGCTGGTCTTTTTCGCAGAGAGCTCCCTCCCGACATTTTCCGGCATCATTGACTTTCCGCTTGTGAAAACAAAACAAGCTAATGATGAATGAGATCCCGGGTTTTCCAATGCCTTCTCGTGCCGGCTTCTATGGTTCCCGGCTTTCGGTGGAATATGAACTATATAATACTGCATCAATTACATAATTAAATTCGTTCAATTTTCAATAAATTTAAATGTAAAACCTGCATCTGTAGGGTTTCCTCCAGATATTCTTGCATGAAAGAAGCACAATAAATATTACTAACGTTAGAAATTGTTCAAGATTACATATATATTTCATCTCTAAACCTGGAACAGGTGCTGCTCCTGGTCTCTTTCAAGAAGCTCTGGATGCCCAGATGAACTACAAAAGGACTCCTGATTTGAGTATTTTTATATTAATTATTTGTGACTATCAAGTTCGCGATTATGTTGTGCGCAAAGAGAAATTAAATTTTTTTGCAATCAGGTTGCAATTTCTTGAAACGAGACAGTGGCTATCCATTTGGAACGCAGAACCATGCTAGATGGAGGAAAATATTGAATCTCGGCATTCTCAGCAAATCCTCGCCATGCCTTGTAATCCCCTCGAAATCATATTCCTTGGACTCGAGAATGAGCCCATATTGCTTACTCGAAACGGCGAGTTCAACAGAACCGAAAAAAAAATGAAATGCCCAGAAACATTTGGAGATGTGCTGATTGGAATTCACGTAATAAATAAATTTCTTGTTGAAGGGAGAAAGGGGAACGACTGAAGGTGATCATGAGATTCATATTACTCGTATAAGACTTTTCTAGTGTTCTAGGACCTAAATGAAACCGCCTGATTTTTCCAACAAAATATGGAAGAAACATGCTTCAATCATTTAACTTTTCCAAAGTACGGGTAAAATGGAAAAAATTATATATTAAAAATTTGTCAGCTGAGGGCTGGCACATTTTATTTTTTCCCTAACAGTACTAATATTATTAGTTCGGAACAAAACAGATCCGCTAAACCCTGCATTAAAGGGTTAGATCACGTTTTCTAAACCAACAAAGGGAAATTTCAGAACGTAATAGCAAAAATAACAGAGGGATACCTATTTGGACATACACAGCAGCAGATTTTACCGCCATTAAGATAAACATTCCTAAATACAGGGTGGCCCAAAAGTAGGTATACAGTATAGTTTATTTACATTTTATTACATTGTTTATTGCATTTACATTTGTTTAACATTTTCAGTCTTCCAGTACTGCTTTAGATCCACTTTCTTTGTTCTTGACTCAAGTTCGCTGCCATCATTCACAATATCTGTAAAGAAAAATAAAATAAAATAAAAACTAAACTACTGTATACCTACTTTTGGGCCACCCTGTATATCATCCGCACCCAGTATTCTCCAGTTGAATTAGAAAATTTTCCGTTAACCAGGAAGGAGGAAAAGGTTTGAGGAAAATATGAATCACATGCCCACTTCCAGCCTCCCCATCAAGTCTTGCACTAAGGCTCTCATGTTCTCGACTTTCTTCAATTGCCACATCCAGTCCACAACTACAGTGAATGGTGAATCGTTGATGTCATGGAAGGCACCTCGAGCACCATGAACAACAGCCACGCCCTCTCCGCCGATTCGCATAAGTTCACGTGCCAGCATTCGTCCTTCGATGAGATACAAGCCTTTCTCAGGAGACAGTGATCCACTCTGTAGTTGAATCTGCACGGGATGATGGTGATATTATGGGGATGTCAATTGAAGTTGATATTGCGGATGTCTTGCTTGCCTAAAGTCAACGGTCCCTTAAATGCTTCATATATGGAGCTTCTTTCCGATGACCAAGCATGTCTCAGTGATCTCATTCGGGTAAGGTTCAACAAGATGCTCGCATTGATGCCAGTAGGACCGTAGGACCGAAAGGTAGTAGTCGGTTCTGTGTAATGACTATTCTTCAAAATCCTCCAGTTCCTTAGTAGCACCGATGAAGGACCACGGACTCATGTTTTCAAATTGCGCCCAGAGTTCTTCTAAAGGCGCCAAGAAGACAATGTAGGTGTCTTAGTAAATCACAGAATCGTATTCGGGCAGGAGATCCGGGAGGAAAAGCCTGAGAGCAGCACAGGGTTTATGATAGATGCTCTTCCATTCTGGTCCTGGGGAATTTCACATCCCTTAATTCATAGGTCCGAAAATTCAATGATCTAGGGAGGTGCTATTCCCGTGCCTCGGAGTCCACGAAACCGATGGCGTGGAATGCCCTTGTACTGAAGACGGAGAGAGAACGGAGTAAGAAAATGACTTCGAAGATCTTGGGACTTTTTGAACAGAAGATAAAGACCAATATCAATGGATTATCGATTCCATTCAAGCATTTAAGATCCTTTCCCTCAAGCGGGCATTGCATCATGAATTAGATATGGGACATGGGATTTCAGAGGCTCAACACCGCTACTTCAAGGTCTGTGACATCATTTTCTCTCCCGGAACAATGGAAAATGTGATTTTTAACTTTGAGATAATTTTCATAATTCTTCTGGAAATATTCTCATAAATGCTTTGCTCTTGTTCCTCGAAAGCGAAATTATATTACAGTTTTTAGCAATTGCTAGAGCCCTATTTCATATCTTGATTGACAATTTCAAACTTAAAAACTTTCAAACTTAACGTACGATCCCCAAAACTCTGCGTTCTTTTCTCACATCCATGCGTCCGATAGTCAAAAGTACGTCCCTTTATCAAAATCAACGTACGCTCTTCAATATTCTAACGTACGAGATAAGGAACGTCTATGGACAGCGAACAAGAAACCGTGAAAATAATTCTCCTGACGATTCCCCTAATCTTAGTATGCATTCCGGTTACAACATCTCTTTAGGAGGCCGAAATAGAAGCAGAAAAAGTCCCTTCAACCGGTTTCTCTTATTTTTAAAACTCATATTAACGTCATGCGATAAAATGCATGGTTCGGTACCTTTAGTATTCCTTCTTATCATAGATTTCTCGCTTATGTATCATACAGAAAGAAAATAAAAAGACGATCACGTGTGACTGAGGGGAAAACTCCAACTCTTCTGAACCATGAGGATATAATATACACGTGTATGTCACTGCTTCTAGTATGGAAATGAAAAGAAATCCACTATAACGAATTGTTAGCCCCAATAGACGCAATTGATAGTGTTAGGTAAAAATTCTTAGGCTTCACATCGAAGAAACTTCTTTTCGTAGGGTCACGAAGACTTCTAGAGTCCAGACATGGGTTTCTCATTTTTTTCGAGCTTAATATTACAAGTATATTCATGATACGCTTCAATCACCATTGAGACTCCGTGTTGGACGTACGGGATCGAAAAAACTATGTGAGCTTCTCGCAACTATAGGCCAGACTAGGGTAATGCACGATGCCCTCATATGTATCTGCGATTTCTCGATGAATGATGACTTTCAAAACTTAACGTACCCATGCCAAAACCGTACGAACTTTCGTCGAGATTCGATTTCCGTTCCCCAAAAGTCGAAACAGAACGTCCTGTGTTCAATTTCTAACGTACCTGGAGTCAAAACTTAAGGCACCTTCTGCAAAACTCTCTGGACGATCCATTACTGTGAATGGGAAGGCGAAGAGTCTCGCGGATCGATGCCTGCCCTGTCAGCCGTACCTGGTGAAATTGACCAGAACCTCCAAAATGTCAAACAATGGAGCGTACGTTACTTTTTGAGGCAAGGACGTTAAGTTTTGACGCGAGTGCCTTAAATTCGTTCTAAAGGACACCAGTATTGTGTTCTATTGGAAAATATGTTTCGGTGAAGGACGTTTGGCACGTATGCCGTATGACAATTTGAAATATAATAGATGGCGCTATATTTGGCCGATGACGTGCTCGTGCCAAAACACTGACGTCGTTTCTCCGTGATATTTGTTGTTCAAAAAATATTTTGCGGATCATACAATGAGGACTTATCCTCTTGTCCTCAACTTCTACTCTGACAATTTATACAATCTAGGCTCGGTTGTTGGGTGGATGTGTATACGGCGGGTGTTTCAACAGTCACCAACCAGGATCAAACCAACATAGATTTCTTCCTGTAAAAATCATGAAACCGCCCATTGAGATTATTTCGCGTGAGATATATGGACGAGGTGCCGCTTGAAATCACAAGAACCCCTCCTCCCCCTCCCATTCTTCCCCTCTCGCCTTCGTTGAACGGGAAATTGTACAGTTCTGCTCCACAACAGATCACGGTTTCTGTCGGTCGAGCCCAATACTATCTCCCCACACCCTAGTAAGGTCAGACTGTTATTTTGAGAAGTCACTTGACTTGTGCCGTCATTCAAAAGGGTGCAGGGCGTTGTATCCGGGCGAAAACCCCTCAACGAGCCAATAGAACGAGCATAAGTTGGCAAGATTTGGAGATCAAAACATGAGATTTTCCCAGTGAACACACATATCTACGAACAAAAATGGGTCCCAAGGCCATAACTATTTTGTTACTTATGACAAACAAAAATAACCATAAAATGACATTCTCTCTTTTCTCTCTTTCCAAACCTTTTTAGCTGATTATGTTGTAACAGAAATTAATCGTAAGTAAATACTCAGGATCAGGTATTCTGGATTTTTCTGAATAACAGTCAGCATTATTGTCTGCGAACTACATTGCTGTGTCGACGTAAGAAATTATTTCAACGTTCAACGGGAGGGAGCATTCAGCTCTGACAACTATGGACGACGAGAACCTCTGAGATTGGTTAGAAAGGAATTTGGAGGATAGAGATTGCTGTCGTCAGCCGTCCATCCATCGTCCGCACTCGTCGAATCGGTCTTCTTATCCTTTTCCCTACGTTAGGTTTCGAAAAACGTACGTAAATATCTGAAAATCGCACTTCATGTTTCGCTTTTCGTACGTTAGCAATTTTAAGTAAAAGGCTGTTAAGTTTTGTGAAAAGTTTGCATAGTTTTGGGATTTTTTTCAAATAGTTTGAAAACGGAAGTATAGTTTCGAGAAACGGACGTAAGCAATTGGGAAAAACTGTAAGCTGTTTTGTAAAACGTTCCCTTGGTCTGCCAACATGATCCAATCTTCGAATTCGATTATGAAGGGATTGGAATCCTGGACATTCTCATCTATGTGCATTTTTCGATAGCACATCTACAGCCTGCCATGATCTTAGGAAGAGCATACTCTTCCTCTCATTCTACTGCTTCATTTTCAACCAAGAGTCATCGGGACACGGAAATCGTGATGAATGGAGGTAAGAAGAGGCACTCTTGCGGTATTCCTACCTTCAGAGGTGCTCACGAAATGAGGGAGGAAGAGATGCCCAAACTCCTGTAATATGTGCAGCATGTCACAAGGACCTTCGCGAGAAAGACTTGACTCTGCGCCACGGAAATCAACGTAATTCTCCTTACATAGAATGTAGACGAGGACGGACTGATCCGATCGCGTCCCGCTGTCGACTTCGCTTTCTGTCAACGTAATTTAGACTGATTTATTTTATGTTTTCGGATCATTTTCAAATGTATCAAACTTTCAATGGAACTTTTGCCGCGTGTTTCGGCACAATGCTCTAACTGTGATTATTCATAATGGACTTCCCTGCGATTTTTCATAATGAATGCATTCAAATATGCAAGTCTCAAGCTCTTTTTGCCGAGCACAATGCCATGTATTGTGTAAAATGGTTCAATGTTATACGACAAAATGGCCGTGTTTTTCATATCGTTTTCACTAATGACTTTCATGGCCATCTTTCTTCCATGGAACCTTAATAGGTTGTGGAACAGACCACCGATCAATCCTGTAGAAAGTGGATTTATGTCTTTGTCTCAATTCCCAGCTAAAATTGAAAAGAAAAGAAAAAATTGAAAAGCTAAAATTCTTCAATTGCCATTTGGACCAATCCCCGAAATACTGGAGGTTCTCATTCGAGCTGAGCTTCGGACAATTGTCCGAATTCCGACTGTATGCGATGAGGGGAAGGGGCCCCCTTGCTCAAACTTGTTTTCGGGCAATTGTCCGAAATCCATCTGGATGGAGGGGAAAGCCTTCTGCATGAGCCGAGCACTTTGCCCAAAATCCAGACGGATTTCGGACAAATGACCAAAATCCGCCGAAGTAGTACAAAAAAGGTAAGTTTTACCGGAGGCGCAAGCCTGGCGCAGCCTGGCGCAATATATTATTTCTTATATAACCATAATTTCATTTGAATTAACCTCAGGTTATCATCGATTTACATAAGTACAGTACTCAGTGAATTAACGTTGAATTATCGGTTGCACGATGATTTGCAATATCCACGTACCTTTATGAAGCGATTTTTCGAATTGGAAAATATTATGGCATGAATCTTGCGTCATAAAATCCCAGTTTAATTGACTCCCGTCATTACCGTTTTGCATCAGGGAAGTCAATAGGGTCGGATCAAAGATTCCAT